TAGTTTCCTAAACAGCTTGTAATAGTATTTTTAAAAATATAGCACTTTATATTACATTTTCAAAGTGTATGTTGAGAAAAAAAACAAAAATAATATAAACCTCTAGATAGTATGTTCTAAAAATAACACTGAATTTATATCCATAAAAAATAGTCATAGCAATGTAGACTACTTTTGAATGTACGTCCTTTTTCATTTAAGCATAGTCTAAACAGCCTAACCTTTTGTCCATTTATTACTATATCATCTAGCCCAGTATAAATGTTCTTGAAGCAGAGAAACTGAGCAATGTAACCACACTAATCACTGTGATAGAAATGATGAAATACCTAAGGAATACCAATAAGAATCAGGAACTGTTGGACAATTCTGTGTGATAAGATATATACATACATACATACATACATACATATGTACACATACACACAGACACACACACACACACACATATATAGTATATATTTCAAACACATATGAAATATATGCAATGCCTATGTCACTTGGGATTATAGTATTCTGTTACCAGAGATTTAAGAAAGACCTGAATACTTCCTGAATATTTAGATTTTCATGGAGAATTCATGGTTTTGCTAAGATTTCTTGGAGCAGTGTATTTACACAGTTGGGAGACTTTTGGAAGATCTAATTAATTTAATATTAATTGTACAAAGTTGCTCCTGCATTTTTTTGGCTGCCCAGACTTCCAAGATAACCACACAGAAACTGTATTAATTAAATAAGTACTTGGTCTAATAGGTCCAGGTTCAAATTAGCTAGCTCTTACATCTTAATTTAGCCCTTTCTTTAAATTAATCTGTGTAATACAACGTGGCTGCATCTTACTAGCAAAATTCCATCCAGCAACTTTTTATGGCAGAGATACATGGCTTCTCTGAACTTCGCCTTATTTCTCCCAGCATTCTGTTAAATTTCCCTGGTCCAGCTCTGATTTGCCCTACTATAAGCCCAAAGCAGTTTCTTTATTCATTAACCAGGAAGAGTAACACATACACAGAAGTTTTTCACATACCATATTCCCATTTCTGCTTAAATAAAAAGGAAGACTTAATCGATAACATAATTACATTACAGGTAACAAACAGATATCAAGCAAGAATTACAGTAATAGTACTTATTTTTTCTTTAATATTTATCATAGCTAAGAAAAATTCTAACTATATTTTCTTTACTTCCACCAAATGTTGTAGGAAGCTTTTAGTTTGTTTCATGGAAGCATGGAAGCTCAGATCCAAAATAATCACAGAAAATCATATTATTTAAATCACTGTTTGGCCCATTAGCTCTAGCTTCTTATTTACTAATACTTATACCTTGATTTAACCCATCTTTATTAATATGTGACTCATGAGGACTTGGGCTGCCTGCAAAGATTCAGCATGTCTGTCTCCATTTGTGCCTCCATGGTTTCTCTTAAACAACTCTTTCTTTCTCCCAGCATTCAGTTTAGGATTCCCCTCCTAGATCTGTTCAAATATAACTATAGTATTGGCACAAAGCAGTTCCTTTCTTAAACTCTGATATTAACAGCATGCAGAAGGGAATCCCATATCAATCAAATTCTCCAGAAGGATATAATATTACCTAAGGAAACAGAAGGAAGAGCATTGTAAGCAACTTTAAAACTCTAGAATTTACAGAGACATCTCATTTCACAGAGAATCACCCTAATTTTTTGGAATTATTGGAACATCCAGCCTACATGCCCATAGTATCTGGCAAACTTTTCCACAAACAGGAAATTTTAGACAGTTTTTCCTATATTGGCAGTTTATCAGTCACTTTTTTGCAGATCCTGAAGAATGTCCTGTAGACTCTTTCATAAAGCAGGAACCCCAAAGGACTGTCTTACCTTTTTAAGGCAGCTTTAGCATCATTTTTCAATGGGTCCATCAAGTTCATTCAAATAGTTCAGGCAAGAGCAGTTTTTATTTATTTTTCCAAAGGGATAACCATCTCCATAAGGAGCCCCTTTGGTGCCCATTCTCTTTTCTTGTAGTAGACTGGTGCTGTCAGGAGCAGATGTGTCTCACTGTCATGAAAAATCCTGTCTTTTTAAAAATATTTTAATGCGATATTCTTTAGTCTTTACATGGTTTGAAGAACACCTATCCATCTGAAATAGAGATCTGCAAATCTAGAAAATCTAACATGACAAGAAGCTTGACTGTTATAGATTATTATCTATTAACCTACATATTTGGCCAAATATGAATGAGTGACACATAAAATGAAATAGAATGTAAAAACTGTCTGTATCACAGACTTGCACTGGTGAAGAGATAAGAGAATGAACAAGAAAAGGGAGTGATAAAACTGGATTATTAGAAATCAAGGGTGCTGAGATTTGAATGGAGCCTCAGTCATTTGTTCTAATGCTCTTGTGAACAGATTTAAAGATGCCTAGGAAGTTCATAAAAGGCATCCATCATAAAGTACTCTAAAGGAAGACAAGTCTATGCCTTGTGTAGTCAAAGCCCCATTGTAATTTTATACTATGCTGCTGATTTTAGCATGATCAGCCTTGAAATAACCGTGTTCCTTATTGCATTGTATGAAACAACCGAAAGATGACGAATTAAATTTTGTATGACTAGGAACAATGTAGAAAACAAGTAGGTATACAAAAATTAGAGGACTAGACTCACCCATAGTGTGCATGAAATATCTTAAAGGTAGAGAAATTAAGAGTAAATTCATGACTCATCTGGATATATAGGTTTATGGCATAGCTGTTGGCATTCTTAAGGATACACTCTGTACTAAGATAATTATTTCTAAGATATAAAATGTCAAACGTTATAAAATAGACTACAGGTAAGCTGAACAATCTAACCTGATGTGTAATGGGAGTTTCCCTTCTGCATGCTGTGATTACATGATAGAATAAAGAAACTGCTTTTGACCTATAAAAGGGCAGAACTTAGGTAGGCAGGGAAAACAAAATTGAATTCTTGGGGAAAGGAGAGAGTCAAAGAAAAGTCATGAGGTCCAGCTATAGCCAGACGGAAAATTTCCCAGTAAGCAACTGTCACATGTTGATACAAAGATTAATGGAGATAGGCTAAATTAATATGTAAAAGCTAGTCAATAAGAAGCTAGACCTAATGGACTGAGCAAAGTTTTAATAATCTATGCATTTATTTTGGGTCTGAGAAGATAGCAATCAACTAGTTGTTGTGCACATGGCCAACTTGCCCTATCATACTACAAAAGCATTTGTTCAACTATGTTCATAGCTGCACTATTTGTAATAGCTAGAACCTGGAAACAACCTAGGTGTCCCTCAATAGAAGAATGGTTAAAGAAGGTGTGGAACATATACACATTAGAGTTTTACTCAGCGGTAAAAAACAATGACATCTTGAATTTTGCATGTAAATGGATATAAATAGAAAACACTTTACTGAGTGAGGTAATCCAGATCCAAAAAGAGGAATATGGTATGTATTCACTCATAAGTGGATTCTAGCCATAATTAAAGGTCTTTGAACCTATAATTCGAGAACCAAGAGAAGCTAAATAAGAAGGTGCACCTGAAGAAATTCATATAGTTATCCTCCTGGATATTGGAAATAGACAAGATTTCCAGGCAAACTTGGGTTCACAGGGGTGGGGTTAATAGGGGGTGGATGCAAGGGGAGATGGGTAGAGAAAGGGGAGAAGGTTAGAATTCGGGATAGTTTGGGGGAAGGGGATGTGTGGGACGGAGGAAGGATGGATATGGGGGCAGGGAAGTAACTATCTCAACTAAGGAAACCATTTTAGGGTTTGCAATAGACTTGATTCTAGTGGGGTTCCCAGGTTCAAGGAGAGGTCCCCAGATTCTTCCCTGGGCAGCAGAGGAGAGGGTGCCTGAACTGGTGTTGTCCCATAGCCATACTGATGAATATTTTGCATAGAACCTTCATCTGGCAATGGATGGAGATAGAGACAGAGACCCACATAGGAGCAATAAACTTAGCTCCCTAGGTCCAAATGATGAGCAGAAGGAGGGAGAACATGAGCAAGGAAGTCAGGATCACGAGGGGTGTGTCCACCCACTGAGACAGTGGGACTGATCTAATGGGAGCTCACCAAGGCCAGCTGGATCGGGAGTGATGGAGCATGTGATCAAAGTGGACACTCTGAACGTGAAGGCTGACTGAGAAGTCAAGGACAATGGCATTGGGTTTTTATTATACTGCATGGACTGACTTTGTGGGAGCCTGGTTTGTTTGGATGTTCACCTTTATAGACCTGTTGTAGAGGGGAGGACCTTGGACTTCCCACGGGGCAGGGAATCTTGACTTCTCTAAAGACTAGAGAGGGAAGGGAAGGTGGAGAGGCGGAAGGAAAAGGGAGGTGGCAAAGAGGTGGAAATTTTTAATAAATAAATAAATAAAGTATATAAAAATAAAACATGAGCGAACTTGGAAAGGGAATCTAGACACAAAATAACACCAGAAATCATGGCTTCTTTTTAGTCATGATTTTTTGTTGGCAGCTTGCTGCAGCTTCTTTAAAAGCAGTTTTCATGGTTCAACAGTAGCAAAAAAAAAAGCCACACTATTTTGAAATGTTGAAATCCTGGACAGTGCATCTAGAGCAACCTCTGGCTCTTTCAAGACACCAAGCATTTAAATGGGTGTTGTTAAGCATTCTCTTACAAACACCTTAATAGCTTGACATAGACACACTGCATACTTGAAATTGGTGCAATGTGAATTGGAAACAGTCTGCAGAGGCAGACTGTTCTTCACATATACTTGAGAGAGCCTATGAAAATTAGTAAAGACAGATATTGTTCTACTCCCAGGATTACAGCTCTCAGGAATGCTGTGTCACCTGTGTATCAAAACATTTCTGCACCTGAAACTGCTGCTTCTCTTTAAACATGTGGCATCCCTGTCTCAGGCTTGAGTGTTCTCTATATGCAAGGAAGATAATTCACCACATATATGCAAGGAGGATAACTGATCACAGACTTCTGTATCTGTCAGAGACGAGGGGAATTCCGCTGTTTCTTATCCCCTGGGAGATCCATTGTGGGAATGGCTAAGACACTGCAGTTTTATTCATGAAACCTTAAAGTCACCGAATATTTCAACCAGTAAAGTAAGTACAAATTATTCTTACTTCTATCCATGTTTCTTTATGCTTTATATAGTATAGCTTATTCATGATATCAGTCAGGTCATGAGATTTCTTGAAAATCAATTATTTTTTATGTCAGAGTTCTACTTTATACTACTCTTTAAAATAATTGAACAACCAGAATTCATTGATTTTGGATCTGTCATTTTGTTTGATTTGAATCAATGCAGATCTTACCTTGTGTCTTATCTCAGACTCTAAATTCTTATGTCTAATAATAAAGGTGAGACTTGAAAACTTTGGTACTTGGGAATCATCAAGCAACTATGAATCTGTTGGAATGTTTCTACAATCATTTCAATGCAGATGTATGTTGCTTTCTGGCGGGATTTTGTTGAAGACAAGAAACATCTGAACATAGTTTTGCAAAATAATAAGACTCTATAGGATTTGGTGCACATCATTGTGTTTATTCCCAACAAGTGATTTATTAGCATCTCTGATGAGAGTCATTGATATATTATGTAGTCAACTCCACTGAAGATTCTAAATAGCAGGATCTAGATTTCTGTTCTGTGATAACATAAGTGCATAAGGACTTCAAAAATAGGTTATTTCCATCACATTTTGAGTTGCAAGCATAAATAATTGTTTGGAAATTAACATGTAATTTTATTCAAAATGTTTACTGTTGCTTGTTGGGAAACTTTTTTAAAGGTTTTCTAGAGACCTTTTGGGAGGTCTTGTTCCATAATACAACAATAGCCTGGAAACAATCCACAGGTTCTCATCTTCTGTGGAAATAAAAGCAGGACATCTTTTCAAAAGTAACATATCCACCATGACATGATGCTGCACACCTTTAATCATTTGGGACTTGGGAGTCAGATACAGGTGGATCTCCGTGAGTTTGAGTCCAGTCTGGTCTACAAGAGCTATTTCCAGGACAGACTGCAAAGGTACAGAGAAACCCTGTCTTGAAAAACCGAAAAACTAAAAGCATATAGTTAAACTCAAATTTTGATGCTTTTAATATATATACTTTCATATCCCATAGGAGGCCCTGAATCAAATGTCCCTCTGCCGTCAAAAACTGATCTAATGAGAGTTCACCAAGGCCAGTTGGACTGGGATTGAACGAGCACGTGATCCAAAAAGATTATCTGAATGTGGCCGGATTCTCTAAATGTGGCTGGCCCGGAGCCTTTCTGAAAAGCCATTGACAATGACACTGGGACTTGTTTCCTCTGCATATACTGGATTTTTGGGATCCAGTCTGTTTGGATACTCACCTTCCTGCACCTGGAGGGAGGGGGGAGGAACTTAAACTTCCCACAGGGCTGGAAGCCCTGACTGCTCTTAGGGATGGAGAGGGAGGAGGAGGGGGACGGGGGGGGGGGAGTGGGAGGGTGTTGGGAGGAGGGGCGAAAATGGAAACTTTCATAATTTAATAAACTTTGAAAAAAAATTCAAAGAAATCACATTAATAAATATAATTCATACTGTTTGTTTACATTCTTTCTTTAAGTGACTTACTTTGTAAGTATTTACTTTATCATTTATTTTATTATCTTTACTCCTTCAATCTACAACAGTCTCTATTGTTTGATGTTGTATTTACTGTCTCTAAAAAGACATTCATTTTTTAAAATGTGTTTCTTTATATACCTGCTGATATAGATTTTATTCTTAAGTCTATATACATTTTTAAAACAACTATGATCTCTTCAGAGGTTTATTTTAAATGAATCTATCTTTATCACATATGTGTAATCGTTTTTCACAGATTTTTTTATTTTTCATGTTTATTAGGTATGAAAAGATCAGCCCAGCTCCTCTGATTATTGAATCCACTCAGTGCAAGATGACAGAGGTATGTCCAACACCTCTGCAATCAACAATAATGCCCTAGTTCTGGAACGCTTGAGATATATGTGAACATAAAGCAATTTATAGCATACTGCTCACAAACACTATTTAAGTGTTCTGAAGCTGGACATTCTACAAGGTCCAGAGCCGTTTGTCCTTCCAGTGTGATCCAGGAAGCTGTCTCTTTAGCGAGTCATGTCTGTACTCACTGTTAACAACAACAACAACAAAAAACCTTTTTGAAAATTGTGACTACCAAGAAGCTGCAATTTTACTCCCCTTTTTGGGATTAAAATCCTTTCTAAACCATTCTTAGTCTTTATGTTGATGCTCGTTTTCAAACGTTTGGCACCATGATGAAAGCAGAGACTCTGCTTTAAGTTTCCCATGCACCCAGAACCAAATAATCACACAGAATCTATAACCATAAGAACAGTGTTTGGTTAATGACTCAAGGGTATTTCTAGCTTGCTCTTACATCTTAAATTAACTGATTTCTGTTATAGCCACATGATTGTGTCTTAATGCCATATTTCTGCTTTAGTATCTACATGGTATCTCCTTGATCCTGGCTACTCTTTCTCTATATCTCTGTTCAGATTTCCTGCATAATTATATTTGTCCCTGTCATAGGTCAAGGTCGATTCTCTATTAACCAATAGTAATAAATTATAGTCACTGCATACAGAATAGAATCTTACATCAAGAGATGAGTCAGAAACTCTGAGGGAAATCATGAAATTTACTTTTGATTTGTTACCATTGATAGAATTGAGATCATTCTCTTTCTTTTTTCATATTCCAACTATAACTTGAATACACACACTTGTCAATCACATACAAACACAGCTAATACAGTCATCAGTAGAGTGAGATTCATAGTCTCTGGCTATGTCCCAATTATCAGCTTCTTATGGCACTAAGCAAAACCTGTATGTACATTGTCCCAGGCAAGGCCGACTGTTCCTGACATCTGTGTGAGACAGATCCCACGAAAATTATAGAAGTCAGGCATTTTAAAACAATATGCATAAGAGGGTTTAAATAATGTAAACATATGCCATGTTTAGCATCAATATTACATATGCTGTTGCTTCCTCCTACAACCTTCACTACTCATTTTTTTATTTTGTTTTGTTTTGGTCATACTTAATCATTGTCTTCTTCTTAGTGGTCAGTTTTTGCTCTCTTTTTTTCTTGTTCTATGTTGTGTACAATCTGTTCTATTTCTTTAAAAATAAGGACCCAAAAAACCCATCAAGATATCTTCTGAAACCTGAGGACTGCCTGTGTACAACTTTATCCTAAACCTCTGACTGAGGAAGCTTATATGACATAGCACATTTCCTAGGTTAGCATATGCTCGCAAAGTCAAATGCCTGCAATCAGGATGCTGAACATCTAACTGCAAAGTCCACAGCAATAGAAAGCAGATATCTGGAAAAAGAGAGATCATTTTTTTCGCAAATTGTTATGCATAGGGAGAAGAATCTGAAATTATTGAATTCCATGCATATAAAAATGAATATTTTTCAAAGTAGTATGGATAATTTTGGTAGAAAGTACTTTTTAACTGAAAAAAGTATCTCCAAGATAGTTAATCAAATTAAACCTTCTCTATAATTACAAATAAATTATAATATGAGATTCATGTGGACCTGTAAAGAAAGGAGAAATTTCAGTTACAGTTTTCCCCCTCAGTGAGAGACTAATTTTTGTTTGGAAAAGAAAAACTTTAACTTAGTTAAAATAATGCAACATTAACTAGTCTACAATGAAAATATAGTATTTCAAAGAGACTCACCATTACTCAGAATGCTGTCAGATTTCTTCTGAGATTGTCAGGTACTTTCTGAGCCAGTACTTGTGACAGAACGTGGATATTTAGTATGAAAAAGAAACATAATCACAGTGACTGACACACAGATAAAAGACAAAGGTTTACAAATATAAATTTAGGGATATTTTACAGTTTTTCTCCAGCAATATATCACAAGATAATCATTACAATTATTGGATCATAAAAAAGCAATTTTATGTTGATATTTAAGTCTGAATGCCTGTTTTATAATTATTGTACAATTTTTACTTTGTTTTTAGAGAACCTTTTTCTTGTTAGTGTTTCCTCTCTGTATGGCATTCACTTATTTTTATTTTAATTTAAGTATTTTTTTTTTATTTTCCAACATGACTCCAACCTCTACTCTACCTCCTCTTCCACTCCTATGTTTGAATAAACTCTTACTCTGTTTTTCCACTGTATGAAGGAGGCTTCTCATGGACACCAGCAAAGCTTGGCGTAATAACATGCCATAGCAGCAACCACCTCTCCCAATATTTAGGCAAAAAAAAATGCAATCCAACCTGAGGAACAGGTTTCAAAGTATCAGCCAAAGCCACAGGGACAAATCATTCCCTCACTGCCAGGTGTCCCACAAATAGATCAAGCATCACAACAGTGACAAATAAGCAGAGGAACTAGGTGGGTCCCCTGAAGGCACAGTAGTTGGTGGTATATCCCACAGTAATTTCTGAAAGTCATCCAAAGTTTTTCATCTTTCTCTCTTAATTTCCAATTTCCGAGGCTTAGTTTCTTTTGGATAAAACATGTATCCCAAATATTCAAAAGATGGCTGTCTTTGTACTTTCACTGGGCAATTACTAACCCTGCAAGGACAGGATTCTGCTGAAGCTGACAATACATTACAAACAAACCTACTTCATTTATATGGGCAAGCAAGTCATCATCCTTAAAGGATAATATAAACTTGTGGAAACTGAAATGTAAGATTCTGTGTAGCCTGAGCCACAGATTTCTGGCATAATATAAAACATTTTGTCATACCCTGAGGCACGATGTTCTAATGATATCATCTAATTGGATTTTTGAAATTAACTGATGAAACACTAAATGCATATCTTTGACAAATTTAGTGAGCCCAGGGTATGGCAAAAACCAATCTTTTAAAACTAAAACAATATTATAGGTATCTTTTTTATGGATGAAACAGAAGGCAATGCAAGATATAAAGCTCCCATTAACTCTCATTAATACTTCTTAAATTTTATATCACTCTCAAATTTTTAGAATTCTTTGTTGGGATGAACATCTTTTCTCCTGTAATGCAACAGTCATAGCTATCCACGGGCTCTATGAGTGTCCAATATATGAGGATATTCTAATATAATCAGAAATATTACTCTTATTTCTTAATGGTCTCAAAGCAGACTTAAATACTACAATAATATTGTCATAAGCTAGCTTTACCTCTTAAACATCCAGTTTATGTGTCTCCAGTTAATCTGTTTGTTTGCTGCATTATCCTGAAAGAATTCATCAGGACCCTGAATTAATTGACATATGTCTTCAGTCTACTCTCCAGAAGAAAGAAGTTTATTCCAGGCCTTCAAGTCTTTGTAGTAACTTGGGCTTATACTGTTATTTCAAAATTTAATTGCTGATTTCTTTTTCTAAGAATTCCCTCACCAGTAAGCAGATGAAATGAAAAGGGAATTTTTTGTGTCCGATTTCTCTCATCTGTGGCCCAACTTTTTTCTTCATGTTTGGTTTTCCACAAGAGATTGTCTCCATTTGACAGGCAACCTTTGATCAGTCCTTTCCATTTCCCATAGTGGAAGATTTTTTTATTATTTATTCTTTTATTTATTAAAAATTTCCACCTCCTCCCTGCCTCCCTTTTCCCTCCCCTTCCCCACCTCCCGCTCCCTCTCTTGCCTTAAGAGCAGTCAGGGTTTCCTGACCCATGGGAAGTTCAAGCTCCTCCCCCTTCCATCCAGGTATATAAAGCTGAGCATCCAAACAAACCAGGCTCCCACAAAGTCAGTCCATGCAGTAGAATCAAAATCCACTGCCATTGTCCTTGGCTTCTCAGTCAGCCTTCATTGCCAGCCATGTTCAGAGTGTCCAGTTTGATCACATGCTCCAACACTCCCAGTCCAACTGGTCTTGGTGAGTTCCAATTAGATCAGTCCCACAGTCTCAGTGGGTGGATGCAGCCCTCGTGATCCTGACTTCCTTGCTCACAGTCTCCCTCCTTCTGATCCTCATTTGGACCGAGGGAGCTAAATCCACTGCCCCAATGTGGGTCTCAGTTTCTATCTCCATCCATCGCCAGATGAAGGTTCTATGGTGATACGCAAGATATTCATCAGTGTGGCTATTTGACAAGGCCAGTTCAGGCACCCTCTCCCCTGCTGCCCAAGGAACAATACGGGAACCTCTTCTTGGACCTGGGTACCCCTCTAGAGACAAGTCCCTGGCAAACCCTAAAATGGCTC